TAATGTATGTTTTAAAATGTGTAAAATTAACGGCATGTTAATATGTCCTTATATACAATGTGAACTGTTATTTTAAAAAGTTAAGAAATACTGTGATATGTTAAAAGTGAAAATGTATATAATGCCAAAAATTTTAACTTATTCGTGTGACTGTAAAAATAGCAAATTATTGTGAATATGTGGTAAAGGTTGAATGAATGTAGTTAGGCTCTGTAGTTAGGCTGACGCTACACTTCAGAGTTAGCCACTTTTAAGAATAGTACCTCAGGGTTTAGAGATGAATATAAGGTGTGATCTGAGGTCTTGCTATGTTGAATTTTAACACGTTAGTGTTTTAATTACAGGCGGTAGTGTTGAACACTTGTACATAAACACGTTCGTGTTTGGTGTTTTCCTTTACAACACATGTCAGAGAGCACGGGGAGATAATTAAATAACGTCATGAATGTAATAAGAATGTAAAACAGAAATATAAGTATTCATGTTACTTGCCATTTAATTGTGTAACATTTCATTAAACTAGTTTACCTTCCAGATCTCTGGAGGGAACCAGATTTCAACTAAGAACTTCTGTTTAGATGCAGTACAGATGAAACGTAATTGTCCAAGGAGTTGATAATGTAAAAACGATTTTTTTAATTTCCAGTTTCTATTGAGAAATGTTTGTAAAAGATTGGCCTCGCGTTAGATTCTAGAGCTAAATGTTTTCAACAAGGTCGTTTTAAACCTCAGTTTCAAACTAATTAACTCTGGCGGGAAGTATGTAAGGATCCTAAGTTTTACTAACGTTTATTTTATTTTAAATCTTTACTATCACTTATTTTCTACTTCTGGCCAGAATTAAAAGCTTTAACTTATTTATGCAAATTTGTCTTGCGAACGCCAAGTACTTAAGTTGTGGCTTTTTTTTTTTTTTTTTTTTTTTTTTTTTTTTTTTTTTTTTTTTTTTTTTTTTTTTTTTTTTTTTTTTTTTTTTTTTTTTTTTTTTTTTTTTTTTTTCTTTTTTTTTTTTTTTTTTTTTTTTTTTTTTACTTTTTACGGCTTTTTTTTTTTTTTTTTTTTTTTTTTTTTTTTTTTTTTTTTTTTTTTTTTTTTTTTTTTTTTTTTTTTTTTTTTTTTTTTTTTTTTTTTTTTTTTTTTTTTTTTTTTTTTTTTTTTTTTTTTTTTTTTTTTTTCTTTTTTTTTTTTTTTTTTTTTTTTTTTTTTTTTTTTTTTTTTTTTTTTTTTTTTTTTCTTTTTTTTTTTTTTTTTTTTTTTTTTTTTTTTTTTTTTTTTTTTTTTTTTTTTTTTTTTTTTTTTTTTTTTTTTTTTTTTTTTTTTTTTTTGTTTTTTTTTTTTTTTTTTTTTTTTTTTTTTTTTTTTTTTTTTTTTTTTTAAGCAAGAGAGAGGAAGGAGTTACTAGAAGCAGGCCGCTTGCCATAGTAGTTTTACTCGTTGCTGGTTGCCTTCAAGGCCAGAGGTTTAATCCTCTTGATAATTTTAAACGTATCGTAGTGTTAGCAGTTCTCTGTACTACATACGGCTTTTTGTTAATATACGGCCAATCTTGGAGTTAGGCACTTGTTTGATTAATCCAAAGTTAGTTTAGTTAGAGTTTAGTTAATATTTTTATATTCTTACGTTCAGACCACAAGTGGTTGGTCTCTGTATTCCGAAGTCCGGAAATCATTGTAAAGAGAGAAAAATAAAGGGTTTCGTATACCCTTCCTGTGTGTATTGTCTACTTCCCAAATTTATTGAACATAGCTTTAGTAAGCTCCCTGTTCAGAGTCAGGACAGTTAATGTTCCCTAAGCAAGTAAGAAGGAACACAGAACCTGATAAACCTTACAGCTAAAGGGAATAAAAAATGTGCGTTAAAAGTTCCTTTGCTGTTTTAGCTGTATAAAAGCTGTGTTGCATAAAAAACTTCAAGGGGGAGAAATAAAAGAGAATCAATTGTAGGAAATTTGTAAGTTTCAATATCACACAGAAATCAAACGCATTTCTCGTGTAACGGTTAAATTAATGTTAGCATCAAAGTTATTGAAGACAAATATCTAATACATTTAGTTATAATTATTCTTGTTATAAAAATTGAAAGACTTAGAGATTGAAGGAAAAAATTAAAATTAAAATTAAAAAAGTATATAGCAGTGAAGACTTGGTTTAAGGTTTGATTATCAATAATGAAAGGAATTATTTGTCATTTAGAATGCACATCCAAGGTGGCAATTTTTTTATACATCAAACGAGAAATAGTTCTAATTATAGTATCAGCATTTTAAGGCATATACAGCTGAGTACTGACGTAAGGAGGAATTAGGGGACCCACTCTTTGCAGTTCCAGAGTTCTTGACATCTCAAAAACAAAACAATTATTAACCTGCTCTTTATCAAAAACTTTGCAGATAGCATAAACTGTAGCTTAGCGCGCATTATGTGCATTGTACGCTACATTAGTGAAATAGGAATGTAGAGAAACTGCAGAGACATTAGGTTATTTGGAAGCAGGAAAGATGAAAAATGAGCAACGCCTTTGCCGGGAATCGAATCACGGACCTTTGGAATATGCGCTCAGCGTGCTGACTACTACACTACGAAGACATGCTAAGAAGGCGGGAGAAATACCTTATATACTCCCCTTTTTAAAGGACGACTGGGGGATTGTTAACTTATTTCAAAATTTAACAGAATTTATTATCAGTGTTTCTTTCAGCTGAAAACTATCACAGATAGTGATACTTCTGATTCTCTTGGAACAACTAGGTTAATATTATAAGATATATAGTGCTATGCAAATGTATGACCTCGTTTAGTTTCCATTTCTTACAATTCAAAAGTAGTGAAAAAGTAAAGAAACTACAGAGTATCTTTGTTATATGCGTAATGAATTTGGGCTGCGTTTGTCAAAGGAGTACTGCCCACCAGCGGCCGAGCGGTAAAGTCGCTGAACACTGGTAGTTCGGTCCGAGGTTTGAATCCCGCGAACGGGCTGGCTGCATGGGTGTTTTCGTGGTTTTCCCCATGTGTAACGTATATACGAGCCAGTTTCCCTTAGAAAGTCCTCCACGAAAGGCATCCCTCACCTTAGGCAGATAGCCCTAGTGTGCTTTGCCATAATTAAATACACCATCAAAGGAGTACTGGAAATGTTGCCTGATTAACTAAATTGCCTGCATTTCTGATACCCAAGTTTCAGGCCCTATCATATGAAAAGACAGGGGAGTAATACAAGTTTATAATGAATTACTAAATGAAAATTTTATGAACTTTAATAAAAACTAAAACGTATGTTACCTATATTTCATTCGACTGCTACATGAACTATTAGCAAAATGAGCATCTATTCGCAAAACTGTATTTATGAAATAAAAATAATTTTGGCAAAAATATATGGCTATTGTACTATTTTTCAAACGTTACATTTTCAGATTCTTGAACATGGCTGCGAAAAAGATGATACAAAAATTAAGCCCTTACTATTTTATATTTTAAAATCTCTGTTCGTTTCAACCAGTTTTGTTTAATCAAGTTGAAAGTAATTTTAAGAGTTGCTTGGTACTTTAATGTGGGAAAACATATACACCAGGAGTTCTCAACCGGTGGTACGCGTACCAGTGGTGGTACGCAAGAGAAAAATAGGTGGTACGCAAAGAAGCAAAGTATTTTTAACTTTTAAATTCAAAAATTAAAACCCCAACATCCTGATTGAGTTTTTTTTTCTCTAACACTGGTAAATTTATGTGATCTGAGCTTTTTGTTGGAGGGTGGTGGTGGTAGTATTACTTTTTAGTGGTGGTACTAAAAGTTTTCAATTTTTGTTTAGATGGTATGCGTTAGTTAAAAGGTTGAGAACCGCTGATATATACATTCTTTAGATTGATGTTACATTTTTCGTAGGAAGTAAAGATTAATAATTAATGTAATAATTCCTAATAGAATTTTCAACTGATATAGAAAAATGCAGTGATTACTCATTACTTAATTCTTGCTTCTTTATTACCTAAGCTAATACTGCAGAATTCAAAGGGCAAGCGTATTTTAACATCTTCCTTACACAAAAATTAAAATTTGTACTTTAATAAAATACTTATTTGTATGAAACAATTAAAGCATGTGCAAGATATTGAATTTGTAATCATATTTACTTACTCTCAAAAATTAAATGTAGTGTCTCTAAAACGCTTTAATATGAAAATATAAAAAATAATTTCTAAACTGGTAAAAAAATTGCACATGAAGTAATATCACGGAATTCAAAAAGAAAAAATAACAATTCGCTTGTTATTTTTGAAAAAAAAAAAAAGGCTTTTATTTTTAACAATTTTTATAATTTAGTTTATTAGTGTTTATACATCTTTTCTTCCAAAGCAGTTAAGCACTAACATAAATTTTTATAATATCACAGCAATTTCTTATCATAATTTGTCACAGCAATTCTACGTTTGCTACAAGATTATCTTTGTTCTTAAGAAAAATAATAAATATAAACGTATTCATAGATATGGCTAAATTTTTGCATTTCGTAGTTCCAGAGTTATGGCTCATTTTTAATCTTCCGTAACTATTAATCTCTTTGAAAAGAAGACTTCATCAGAAACCCTTATTATCATTTCTTACTTGATGCCTCAGTCCATAAATTTGTAGAGATATTTTATATAGGAAATTATATTAATTTGCATTTATATTTTTTTGTTTTACCTGAACTTTTCGTTTTAATTTACATTATTAAATACAAGTACAAAGTACTATTAATAACTTTACATTAATAAATACAACATTTAATGCCAGATCTTTGTTTTACATAAACAATATCTTAATTTGTAATTAGTACAGCGAAATTTGTTATCCTAAATTCATTCATGGTAGCAGATAAAAATGGAGATTATTCACTGCAGCATTTAAAGCCTTGATTACATAATTTAAATCATGAGCTTAATTTTGTTGAATGTTGCAGTAAGGAATGAGAAGAAAACCTACACAGAAAATAAGAGTAAATTACAGAAAAAAAATACTCACTTGAATGACATTCCATCTGCTGACCACACGTGCAAGTCTTTCCGTAACTTCAGAAGATCCAGTTCCCAGAATCACAGACATGGTAGGTTGCCGGTACAAAGAGTGAAAAAAGGCATCAACAGCAACACCAGAGTCGCACTAAAAATGAAAAAAAGATAATCTTAAAGTATGTACTTTCTTTAGAAGGTGCAAACTGGCTCTTCCAGTCTCATTAAAAATAATAAATAAATTAAGATAAAATTAGGCTAAAACTGGAATAAAATCTTTAATAACTGCTATAAGATTATATTTGCTAGATGGGTTTTTTTTCATATTATTCTAAATCAGACAATTAAATGGGTAGGAAAAAAAAAGAAATTTTATATTTTAAAATTAAACCTCTTGTGTTTAATTATTCTCGAAAGTTTAAATGGTATATTTGTGAAGTGAAACGTTACCAACTGACTGGTGTTTCTAAGGAATAAATAATTACGACATTAACAAACTGCATATTTAAAATAACTCATTTATTATAAGTTTAAACAGTATATTTGTGAAGTGAAACGCTACCAACTGAGTGGTGATTCTAAGGAATAAATAATTACGACATTAACAAACTGCATATTTAAAATAACTCATTTATTATAAGTTTAAATAGTATATTTGTGAAGTGAAACCTTACCAACTGAGTGGTGGTTCTAAGGAATAAATAATTATGACATTAACAAACTGCATATTTAAAATAACTCATTTATCTGAACTTTTGTTAATATTGTGATGGACTTTACTACCAATATTTAGTTTCTGCGAACTTATTACATACAGTATATTTAAATTCGTTTAAAGAAATAATATATCAAGATTTTAGAAGATTTGAGTTTAAATATATATATTTGTCACCCGCATTAAAATAATAAAACCCCTGCTATCTTTATTTAAAATTTGTAATTACGAAGCTATATATCTCTTTGTAACGTTTTGAGCTGCATTAGCACCCTTCAGCATTTTGAATTCAAAATTTCCTCCTCTGAGTAATTCTTAAGTAAAATTGCATCTTCGTTTTCTAAAAATAGGCATAGACTAGATTAGTTGTCAGCAAAACATCTTTAGAAAAAGTATATAGGGGAAATAATTTATGTAAATATTATTGAATCGTTCCTCTGTTAAAATGAATTATGATGGTTTAGAATCTAGGCTAACGTTTCTCAGTCTGTGGTTCTTGATATCTGGCTCTGTAGTCCTCTTTGGAAATTATAGATGACAATAGTTTATCACTTTTTCTCCAAAGACTGACATTTTATGGTATTTACTACTGTTTATCCTAACTAAGGACTTCTCACTCTAGTCTTACTAATAAAGGAGGAACTTAAAGTATTATAACTGTGGTGCTTTGTACCGACATACATCCAAACATAGAATAGCTATATAAGAATCAGCAGGCTCATCCATTTCATTAATCTGCGTACCAACATTTATTTAATTCTTAGTTAATTAAATAAAGATTAACCAAACTCTAATAGTCTTGAATTGTTAAAACAAATATTAATTTTCTTTTATTAATATAATAACTTAACACCAACATAAAATTAAATTAATTATATTTTTAAAATATAAGTGTACTGATAGTAACATATGATACAAAATTGCATTCGAGGAGGACAATAGTAAGGTGGTTCGCAGAACATTCTAATTTATAAAAGTGCTCCCCGTATGAAACATTTTTAAAATTCTGATCTAGACTACATCTTAATAATTTTTATTACGAATTTAAAAGTCAAACTTTTATTAAGGATATGAAAAGAAGTATTTACAGTTTGGCGGAATATATTTTCTGATTTGACAGCACAAGTTTCCGAGTGGTTAAGACGGTTGAATACAGGGAGTTCAGCCCAGGTTCAATTCCAGGCGAACGAGCTGGATACATGGCTAGCTTATGTACGAGTATAAGCATGAAGTTTCTCTTCGAACGTTTCTAGGTTCCGTTAGTTTTTCATGAAGTCATTCTTCCCCTTAGGAATATAAAACTCTTGTTCTTTGCCATATTGAGCTAACCTAACCTAATATTTCTTTGATATGAGGAAGTTTTCCTGATCGAAAAATTATATTTTTCACAAACAGCTGTAATGTTTTATGCGTGATTGACTCACATTCCACTTTACATTTACCTTGGATGATATCCTAGCATTAGTTTTGCTATGAGGCGAAATCTTGACAATCGTTCAGAACCTTTCAGATACTGGCATACCTATCTTGCTCACAGACAAAAGTAAAGTTTATTAAATCCTTCCAAGATGGCCAGATGGTATAGTGGTTAGAGGAGCCTATTGCAATACCGATGGGCACGGGTTCGAATCCCGCATAAGGCATGGGTGCTTTTAAATGCATAATGTCTTTGACGCATGGGGGCAATCTAAATATATGTTCAGTCGTAGGTTCTCTTGAGAGGTGGCTGGTAGGGGAATAGGGGTGGGAGACCTTCGGACTCGCTCCCCGGGGGTGCTTTCCATCACAATTCCATTCATAAATGAAAGTGGATTAAAACAGAAATTTTAAAAATCGTAAAAAAGAGTGAGCAACAATTAATAAATGCTTGGGCAGATGATTCGTACTGGTGATAAATGTTTTTTTTTTTTTTTCGAAGAAAGAATATTTTTTAGGTTCGGGATTGCATTAAGATTTACTATGGTATAATACAAATATTTACCTAATGAATTAAACATAATTTGCTGTTTGCATTGCGTAGTTTGTTCTTTATGACTTTCTTTTTTTATAGTTCAGGACATAAATAAAACTGTATTAATTTACTTCTGTAATCTATAATCTTAAATAAGAAAATAATATGAGTTAAGTATTATATGGAAACAAATATAACATCAATGCCAAGGGGGAAATTATTTGAAAATTTCCAAATAACCTAATGTCTCTACAGTGACGACCAAACTAAAACAGGTGGTGGGTGATGATTCTCCACCACCAGGATTTGGCGACTGGGTCCCCTAATCCCCAGTCGCCCTTTAAAAGCGGGAGTATATAATATATTTCTTCCGCCTTTTTAGCATGCCTTCGTGGAGTAGTGGTCAGCACGCTCGGCGGGTATTCGAGATGTCCGTAGTTGAAACCCCGGCGAAGGCATTGCATATTTTTCACGTCTTCTGCTTCCAAATAACCTAATGTCTCTACAATGTGATTAAAATTACCTGAGAAACAGTAATTCAAGCGGAAAATAAACACGTAAATTAAAAATTTAAATTAAGTAAAATTTCAAATTTATACTGACACTGATTTTATAGAAGAGATTTTTTAATTTTTACGAGGAAAGACACGGGGTACACGCTCTTCAGTATTTTTGTTTTAGAGAAGAATAGTTTAAAATCTGCACTACAACCAACAGTACAATTATAACTATTTTTTACTACTGTTCTTGTAATCTTTTACTTTAAAATACGCATTTCGAGGTCTTTTCACCTTTTAGCTTGCCTTGCAGCCACGATGACGAGAGACGCAGAAGATGGTTTGAGTTATCTAATTTTTTTGCCGGTTTCATTTCTATTTAAGCTGTATCGCTTTGGGAAAAGAGCGCGAATGGAAACTGACTTGAACTAAAGTCTCAAATGAGATGGAGAAAATAAGTGCTGTGCGGCGATGACGACACGCGACACCATCGTAAATGAGGGAAGGTGGAAGAGATTTTCAGGTGCCTGTTTTAAATATTAAGCTCAAGGTGCCTGTTTTAAATATTAAGGTGCCTGTTTTAAATATTCAAGGTGGGTACGTTTCGACTGAAATCAATACAAGACTTGCTGTGTTACTCCATCTTTTAGACATGTATTTCATGTTACTAAGCAGAACAGGTTATGCCTTTGAATATTTTAATTAATGAAGAAAAAAATATGATGTGGCCAGCACATGACCTTCAGCTAGTTTGTGGTTTAAATAGCAACAAGCTTTAAGTACATTAAAACTTCGTGTTGATAAATAAAACATAATTTGTTGGTCCAATAAAAAGAAAGATCTGTAATAGAAATTTTCGATTATATTTTATTAAGCCATGTGTAAAGCCTGGCTTAATTTATATCAACATAATCTAATGTTTGATGTTTTATTTCGTTTTATTAAAAATGTATTTTATTGAGCAGTTGAATAACATATAATTTAATTTATAACGAATACCATATTTTAATATTTTTCTATCTTTTTTCCATATTACCTCCCTTCTTTTCTCCTTCGTGATGTAATTGGAAGCACACTCAACAGGTATTTGGGAGGTCCGGAGTTCGAATTCCGGGAAGGGCACTTATTTTTTACCTCTCAGCATCGATATAACCTAATGATTCTACAGTATTACCAAATCCAAATTCATTTTAAACAATGAATCTGAATTCCTTTTGATTTGTACGTATATAGCCGCGCGATTTAAGTATCAGTGAACAATGCTCGTGAGCTTTTGGAATTACAGCTGAATAGCAACTACCGTGAGTTCCGGGATCAGTAGCAAGTAAAGCAATAGGTTTTGTACCTCTTCATCATCAACAGTTTAAGAGAATAACAAGCGCGTTTTTTGGTAACATGCCTGCATTACAAAAGTTTTGGACGTCTGTAAATGAAAGGCTGTTATAAATATAATTTTCTTCGACGGTTTGGTGTAAATAAATATTGTTCCGTTTTTTTTTCTTCTTACGAACGTACGATACAGGTTCGTGGATTTGGGGTAAATAACGACGACACTTGACAAAGTATCAAAACACACTTTATTGGCCAGTATTATTCAAGACAGCTCCAAAATTACGTTTTACAGTCGTCGAAGAATTACTATAAACCCGCTGACACAATCAGTGACACAGCTTTCAGGCCATAAAGGTGATGAGAGATTCACGGCAAAGCACCAGAGTACAGTTCCCGACACTGTTTGGTCGTTCTCGGAACTTTCGAGACTCTCCCCGCTACAATTCACGGTGCACTCAATGACACACTAGGGTACAGCTCACGACTCCTCGGTTCAGTCGTTTCCAGGCTCAACACACTCTAAGATCAAACTCGACGATGCACTAACTCGCGATACACTAAGAGACCCTCTCGATGAACTCGGCGACCAGCTCGGCGCTAAACTACGAGACACTCGATCACTGCCTCTTTGCTGACTCTACTAGGCACTCAATGAC